TAATTAAAGCCATTTCCTACTACATAGGGAATATGCATGTATTTTTTTCTTTTTTTAAAACGATTCTACTTGTTATAAAATAACCAGAAAAAAAATTAACGTGAAAATATTCAACCATTGAGCTAAAAATAATAAAATGAAATTACGACCATTTTCAAACGTCTAAAACGCGACCGGAGTTGACATGAGACAATTGACGTCAATCATCTTATTCCATTCATAACATACGCTCAGATGTCACTTCGATGTAAAAAACAACAAAGTTTCTCAAGGTCAAAAAGTCGAAAATCGATTTTCATTAAACGTGGTACAAATAAGTGGTAATTAATAAAAGATATCGTGGTGACAGTAAAATACTTCAAGAGTGTATTTCTAAATAAACTAACGTAAATGAACTGTGTATTGACAACACAGCGACATATTAGATAAGCCACTTGCTTCGACCAATAGTGTGCGTTTTAGAACTAAGAGAGGGAATTTGAAAAAAGACATTTTTGAATGATTAAATTTTGCCACTAAATCACATTATATTTAAAAAAATCTTTGCAGGGCTGTTTTTATGGTAATAAAGTATACTTAAAAAAAGTTTGGTGCAATTTGGCGTCATATGCATATTGTACATTGTCTGATAATCCAACGTTTAAAATATGTGGTAGTGCCCGCTTTAACATGTTAGCACTGCAGGACACGCTCGGTGTACCACGACCACACAGAAGACAGCCGTGAAGTGGAAACAATTCCGTGTTTCGTCTGATGAGTGTGGTGCCGGAGGCCTAATTTAAGTCCCTTTCTCTTTACCACCCTTTTCTTATAAACGTAAACGTATTTTTTTTGTTTTCACGTTTTTAAATACTTTCATACTAATATCGCTTATGTTATAAAATGTTGGAAGTTGGCACGTCAAGTGAAAGAGTGCGCGTGATTTTGACGTGCCAAGTCTTGCGTATTAGTATAAATCCCGTCTACATCCTAATATAAGATAACTGCTAAGTTTTCTAAATATGGCTTCTCTATAGAAAATCAATTTAATATTAGTTCTATTGTTAAAACTAGAAAAAACAGTAATGTAAGTTTTTAAGTTTACTTTAAGATTAATTTCAGTGTAAAAATTTTAAATGTATTAGTAACTAGCTGTTCCCGTGCTGCTTCAGCCGCATGGAATTATAAAAATTTTATTTTATTGTTTACATTTGTCAAATTATCAATAGCAAATGTCAAAATGACATGACATGACAAACCTTAGCAACCTTGCTTTTTTGATGTTGGCAACAACTTATGGTCTCTTTCCCGCATTAGGGTTTTTATCCAAAATATTTACTCTTTAAGTTTAATGTCGTGAAAATATATAGCCTAAAGCGTGACGCAAGTGTAGGGCTTTTTATTATCAAAAGAATTATTTAAAAATATGCCGTAATTGCCGACATCTTAGGCAAAAAAGGAGTGTGTGTTTACGCTTTATTATAATAGTATAGATTATTTACTAAGTAGGATGTAAGCAGCTAAAGTAATATTTATTTAAGATATAAACATAGATCTTATTAATTTGTTGCTTGTTTTTAATAAATAATTTCTAACTTATTTGTTTTTTTATTTATTAATCTTTGATCTAAACATTTTACTTGAGTTGAAATAAACGAGCTTCAAGTAATTATATACTTTATTGCGTTATAATAAGATTTAATTTTGAATGCAGGATTTGTTTCTATTGTCTTTTTGTCACAGTAAAATGTGCTTTAGTACTTGTTTGTAAAGTACAATTTGCATTGTATACATCTTAGTATTGGTAAAATAAAAAAATGGGGCCCACCTGCAAGCACTACCTTTCGGATAAAAAAATTATCAAAATCGGTCCACTAGCGGCGGAGTTATGCCGTAACACATAAAAAAATATATAGACGAATTGGGTATCTCTTTTTTTTGGGAAGTCGGTCAAAAAGAAACAAAATTTTTTAGTCTTCATTTTATTGTGAAGGTCGTCACCTAATATAATATTTAGGGACAGTACATAAGCTTACAATATTACTGTATTTCTTGTATTACCATTATATTCCACGGATAAAACATCTGTACAAAATATACTTCCTTCTCTATCATTTACTTTGAATAAATAGAGATAGTAATACAATTTTGTTCAGATATCTCCGAAGTGGGAACTTACTGTGTATTACAATGATTTTATTAAACTGCTTACATACATTTTGATATCGATATGAACAAGGGATATGATGTAAGCGTGTAATTAAAAAAACCAATTCATGCCTTCCAGAACATCTTTGAGCTATTTGAACGGGAACATTTATTTTTATTTATAAATTAAAATTACAACTAAAAATATTACCAGCCAGTGCCAAAATTCTATAGTATATCACAGATAAGCCAACGTGAAATGCATAGCAATATAAAATTTATATATATTAATATATACAAGGACCTGCCCAGGAACGGAAATTCAGGATAATATCGATTGTAATGCTTAGTATCCGGTTAAGAAATATTTTAAGTTGATAATTTGGTCACTTGGAGAATAATCTAAAACACATTAATTTCTCTACGTGCACTATATTTTTTTATTGGTTATAAATCATTTTTGACACCCTGTACGTAAAATTCAAAATAATATACAAAAAATAAGGAAAAAAATCCATCTATATTTTAAACAGCACTGATATGCGTCAAAAATTTCACAACATTCGATAAATCGGACCCCTCGGGCTTTTAAATATAAAACTTAAATTAATATTTCAAATCATTATAATAGCGTATGAATGTATCGCACAGATGGCGCCATCGGTTTAATGAAATCTTTCGTTGGTACTTCGAGTCGGATTTTTCACGAATTCTCCGGATTTTCATCAGTTAAACCGTTAACACCAAATTAAAACGATATTTAACGACTATATTGAAGACTTAGAGTTAAAATAATATGGTCACGATTGTGCATTTTACATATTTCCTCCTAATATCTACGTTTTAACTAATTGCATATATTACTATAGATAACCCAAAACTACGGTCCGTACATTTAATATTTTATAATGTTGAGATTCTTTATATATTAAATGTACAGTTTCACATTTCTAATCTAATATTAATTTAATCTCACTGTATTTTGATAACATAATTAATTTCTAAATAGCTTTTACATATATTTATATCGAATATTTACAGTGACAATTCGTCAAACATTAATACATAAATATCGCAGAAGCGTTTTATGTAATGGGTAAAATAAAACCTGAATTGCGTAGAATTAAATCAATTTATAGTTAGTTGGTAATTTCTTTAAAAAGGTAACGTACCAAAAAATTAAAAAAAAACCTAGAAATAAACAATTACTTTTTTAATCTTTGACAATAGTTGCGCATACATATAAAAAAGCTATGATAAAATTAAGCCAAAAAATCTGTTTTTTTCTTAAATTAAATAAGAAATTACCAAATCATTCTAAAACAATAATTGCAATTCTTGTTTCATATTGAATTTAAAACTATACTCATGTTTCTTGGTATTAATGTTTTTAATTGAAAATTATAAAAATTATTTAAAGCATAAACTTTATATTTAAATATGAAAATAATATAATTAAATATATTTTTGCGCTGTTAACACATATTAAATTACAAGGCTATCTAACATAGGTTATCTTTTATTATTTTTAAGTTAAAAATATTGCACAAACACTGTTAGAAAGAGACATTTAAACATTTGTAGAGCGCTGTCTCTTTCGCTTAAATTATGATTATCTGTGACAGAGAAAGCGTTCTACGAATTAGAAAGTTCTCTCTCTAACTGCAATATTTTCTACTTGTGTTGAGTATTGAACAATAAATTACATTTGTACTCTTCAAGTATTTTATAAAGCAAGGGATTAATATGCAATCTACGATGACTAAAACTTCACTAAATGGTCCGAATTTAGTATGAATAGAAGCGGTTAACGTATGGACCCATCTTTAAGTAACCATACAAAAGAGGCCAGCTCAATACTGAAACATTTATTAAAGAAAACCAGTTTCCGTAACCGAATACTACTTTATATACAATTTGTGTGTTAAATTTAATAATCTGAAATATAATTTATTAACTAGAAGAATTTAGTGATGCCCTTTATATTTGTTATTGTCATAGAATAATTTTTAAGATTTAAACACTGTACATTTACGGTTTTGGAGAACAGTACAAGTAATTCGAGAGAATAATTACAATAACTCCGTAGGTAAATATGTTATAGTACATAAGCTATGAATAGCTTATAATATTTTGAGCCATCAAAGTATATATTTATATTAAATTTTCCTCTATTTAAAGCTCTTAGTTTTCATTTCATGCGAGTTTTATTACCGCATGGAATACTAAATGCCCGTATACTACGTATATAGTATACGTAGGACTACCTACGTTTCAGGGCAATATGACAGATATAACAATTATTAATTATAGAGTGACATGTTAAAAAAACAAAAGCTTCGCTTTTGGCATTCCAGATTAACTTGTAACGCTGTAAAGTCAATAGACGCACGCAGAGTTCTTAAAGAAGGTCACTTAGATGTAGACTAGTTAGTCTCAATAGCTAAAGTAGTTTAGTGAAAGTATACACCGAGAAATACCACTTTAGATCGTCCACACTTGCACTTTCTCGGCCACAACGCACCAGCTCGCCTGATCGTAGTACGACGATACGACATGCAGACTCTCCACGTACTGCTCGATTAATTGATCGAGTTCACCTTTCTTGAAAACATGGTAATAACGATGTAGGGTTACAGCACCTCCCTCTGATGGCAAACTATCAGATGCATCGCTCAGTGATGGTAAAAGAGGCGCATGCGTGACAGCCCTGCAAGTTTCCGCGGGTACCGTCGCAGTATCTTCGGAGGAAGATCGTTTTTCTAGTAGTTTCTTCTCTCTGGAACATTCGCTGCATGACGGTAAGGAGTTTAGACTTGCGCAGCCCAAGGAAGCCGTGCTGCCGGTTTTGTCTCGTCTACTCCAATCGCTGCCGGCTGAAGTGTCGCTTGATTCAACTGAGAAACCGGATTTCAAAGGCGCTGTACTGGCACTCGATCTGGATGTTACAGATTCAGGACTAATTTCCATTTTGTCCAAATCACTGGAGTCGGTGGACTGGCCAACTTTTAAAGAAGAACGTTTATCTGTACTGGTACATAGTGAGTCTACACTTATCTCGGATTCTAAAGAGTAGCCCGTTTCTAAAGATTGACTAGTGTCGTACGTTCCTGATTCTATAGTGATTTCCGGGTTACCGTTGCTTGACGAAATAGCGCTATCGTCGTCTGGATTCTTGATATCAGTGATTTCAGGCAACTTCTCATCCGTTACTATTTTCGTAACATTATATTGTATGTTGGCACAATTATTAAGGTAAATATCTTCATCGCTGGTTACTTTCATGGATTTTTTTAATTCTCTATATTTGTTAATTATTGGATCAACATCCTTTGACCTCTTTTTGCTCTTAGTTTTAGAACCACATTTAGGGAATAATTTATTTATATCTGTCTCTTGAGTGTCGCTTAGTGGTATGTATCTTTTTTCATTTGTGCTTAATTTTAGGCCGTGCATTTCTGTGCTCAATTTATTAGCATAAGGCTCTTCTAGATGTTGCAAACTATCAGAGAGCTCGTCGAGTATTTTTTGTGTATTCCTATCCTCTTCTTCTCGTTTAAGACGGAGTGAAATACTTTTTTCACTGCTACTACTGCTTGGCAAGTCAAAGTCGTCTTCATTTATACGTTTCGAGTATTCATCAATTTCTTGGAGTAGCTTTTCGCTGAGTTTCTCAGCGAATTCGGTTAGATGTTGATTACGTTCTTGTTCAACAATCCAATCCTCTTCTTTGGCCAACATATCCGATTTGCACGTCACCAATGGTTCGTTGGCAATATTTCTGTTAAAACTTTCAGATTTGGAAATAGATTTTTCTGAATCGGTGCTAGATATGGAGATTGAATCGTATGGTAGTCTTGTTGGACTCCTGTGACTCTTTTCGTCCAGTGAACGTCCATCTAGTCGGTTCGGGGATAGTCTGTTTAGGCTCCATGTAGAATTACTTGTACTTCCCTGTTTAGGCGATCTGTCTTTTGAACGTCGGCCAGGCGAGAGACGCTCTAGGCTCGAGGAGCTTCCACTGGAACTAGTGTGGGATTGGGACCTAGATCTGTCTTCTA